TTAGAAATGACATGGAAATATAGGGTAAAACTTTACAGGTTTATTTCCGAAAAAACACATGCCCCTAGTAGAGCGTATCAAATTCACTGGAAGGCCTTGGGTTTAACTATTAGGGCTCATAGTGAATGAATATGGAGACTAGGACATAGCTGCCTATACTTTGACTTCTATAAGAGATATTATGGAAGTTTGTTTGTTTGTTTTGTCTATGCTGTACAAATTGTTACATTTTTCAAAGTAGTAAAGATGTTAAACATTCTTTCTCCTAACCTGAAGGATATAAGACAAATATGAGGTAGACGTCAGCTGTGTTCTGACTTAGAATTTTTAAACTGTTTTCTATAGTCTATTACCATATGAAAAATTATAATTCTGCCTTCTACTTTGTTATTAACTTTGTGTAAGTGTACAAAAAGACTATACAGTGTGAATGTCACTATAAACATATTCACACCCTTATTTTTTAAATTAAAAAAACTTCACTGTGGAAAATTTTAAGCCTCCATTTTACCTATTTTTGGAAATTTTTATTTCTTTGTGTACATCCAAGTTTGTCTGGTATATACTCTTTCTGCCTGAAGGACTTTCTTTAACAGTTTTTGTGATTTTGGTTTGCTGCTGGTAAATACTGTTAGGTTTTGTTTATCTGAAAAAGTCTTCATTTCTAACAGGCTTTTTCTCTGGGTGGAGAATCTGTGTAAATAGTGATTAAAAAATCCTTTCAGGCCCTGGCTGATGTGGCACAGTGGATTGAGTGTCAGCCTGCTAACCAAAGGGTCACTGGTTCAATTCCCAGTCAGGACACATGCCTGGGTTGCAGGCCAGGTCCCTGGTAGGGGCAACCACACATTGATGTTTCCCTCTCTTTCTCCTTCCCTTCCCCTCTCTCTAAAAATAAATAAATAAAATCTTTAAAAAAACATTCTTTTAGTCATTTAGTTACTTCATGTTTTTTTGGCTTTGTATAGTTTCTGACAACAAGTTTGCTTAATTTGTGTTTCTCTCTATAAACACATTTGCTTAATTTGTGTCCTTTCTCCCCTTTTGCTGCTATCGAGATGATCTCTCTCTCTCTGGTTTTCTGCAGTTAGAATACATATTGTGTGTGTGTGCACTTTCCTCCACGCATGTGTGTTAACCCTGTTTGTACTAATCCTGGATTCTCGCTGAGCTTCTTGGGTCTGTGCTTTGATTTCTTTTGTCATTTTGGAAAATTCTCAGTCATTATCTCATGTCACATTCTGTCTGTCTTCCCCATCCAGGATTCCATTACACATATGTTGGATGATTTGGTATTGTCCTATAATTCTTGGATGCTCTGTTCTGGGTTTTAAATTTTCACCTTTTTTTTTTTGCTTTGTGTTTCACTTTGAATAATTTCTATTGACCTATCCTTGAGTTTATTGATTCTTTCCTTGGCTATGTTTATTCTACTGATGAGCCTGACCATGCATTCTTTACCTCTGTTACCATGTTTTTTATTTTCAGCATTTCCTTAACTCTTTCTTACAGTTTCTGACTTTCTGCTGGAGCTTGAGGACTCAGGTTTCAGAAATAGGTTTGCCACTTATTTTCTCTGAGCCATAGTTTTCTCTTTGACTAACTAAAAAAATGGGAATATAGAATAATAACGAACAGAATTATTTTGAGGATCAAGTGAGGTTCCTTGGACAAGTCCCTTCTTTCCCTTCCCCGAATCTCAACGGCCCTCATTGAAAGGCTTGGACCGTGTGATTACTTTGGTCCTATTTAGTTCCTAAATTGTATGATTCTGTGAAGCGAAAGGGACCTAACATTTATTGACAGCCTATATTAATCTCATGTAGAATTTGATAAGGGGATAAAAATCACATTAAAAAAATGCTTTTGCAAAACATTTTACTTTTGCTAGGTCTATGTGGATTTTAATAAGAGGAAGTAGACAGCACTAAATGCAATTGCCACTTGGTTAAATCTGCTAAGGAATCATTAGACTTTTTCAGCGGTGGGTTTCTTGACTCATTTGAGAAATTTTATGGTTTGTAAAACATCTCACTTTCTTTTCCTGTACCTATAGGATTTTTAATTATTGGATTGGCTCCCAGATTTTTCAATGTGGGAAAAAAAATTAATGGACGTTTTTGCTCTTTACCGAGTAGTGCAAATGAATGATATTCTCATTGGATTTGGCTTTGCAACCACACTCTTGGGTTCAGATTCTGATTGCACAGCTGTGAACCTTGGGCTGATTATTTAACTGTAGAGCCTGAGTTTTCTGTATCTGTGAAAATAGTGTTGATACCTACATCAGAGAGCTGTTTTGAAGGTAGAATACATAATGTATATAAAGCTCTGGGTATAATTCCTAGTTAGTAGCAATTGGTGCATTAAAACAATAGCTAAAATGAAATTTGCCACTGTTGTTTTCAGTTAAGTTTTTAGTTCATATAAGGGGAAAAGCAAGTTTTATATTCTTTTTATTGCATTTAGTGGAAAGGTTAGCTGAACAATGGGGAGAGGGTTAACTGAAAAGCCAGTGTTGCCAAATGAGAATAACGGCCAGGAATTAGCACGTACTACGTGACAGGTGCTCACGTTTAATCCTCAGAACAGCCCTGGGAAGTCAGCTGCCTCTCCTCTAAGAAGCTTTTCTTCATCATAGTGAGGGTGACCACCCCCATCCTTTGTGTTCTACTCCACTTTGTCTTCTACCACTAACTTTCATATGTAACCCCTGTCCCCTCTCCATGTCTCAGCCCCACTGACGGGTTCTCTGTGTATTTGGCCCAGAAATGGCCTCACATGAAGTTGAATTGAATTGCTAACATGTTGAATCTTTGTGTATTTTCTGGTCAAGGCTGAAATCCCACTTTCTTTATGTTACAGATAAAAATTAAAGCACTAAAAGTCAAATGTCTGAGGCAAAAAAATACTAAGAAAATAGGTCAGTTAAAGAAAAGTGCTCAATACATAAGAGGCCCTTTGGACCCCCTGCCCCAGTACATACTGTTTGTTAAGATAAACAAATGTAGTATTTTAAAGTAACTGTTTCCCTGGAAATTACCTTTGAGTAAATGTAAGGCCTTTCAAAGAGGTGTTGAAATTCTGTGTTTCTAAGTAATTTTACTGTAATGGGTATTATTTGAGATAGAAATTATTTAATACAAAGAAGCATTCCTTAGTCATACTGTGAGCACCTGTCATCCAAAACACAGCCCATAATATAGGCCTTCTTACTTGAATGACACAGGAAATAATGTCAAATTATTTTTACAGTTCTTTTTCTTGTCATGACAAACATTTTCACAAAACTGCATCCCTGATCATAGATTGTTAGAGTTGGAAGGAACCTACCAGATCCAATCTAATTCCTTCCTGCCACGCAGAGGTATGAGGCAATTCCTCTAAAGCCACGCAGCTGACTAATGACAGAGCCAGGGAGAGAGCAGAGCCCCTTATCTATTTGCCATAATGTTACGGTCCTCTGGAAAAAAACTGCCTACTCACTCTTGGTTTTTACTGCTGGAGTCTTGGGGTACGGTTTTTTCCATGACTAACCCATGCTCTTTGGTTTTCTTGTGTGGGCGTCTGGGAGCCTACGATCAAGGGTGGTGTTTTTTTGTTGTTGTTGAACAATGGAACCATGTAAGGCACCAAACAAAGAAAAGGCATTTGTCTGGTTAGCACTTAAGGGGTCAGGAAGAAGTGGTTGGAGCTCAAACTCTCCACCCTCCATGTTGACAGGCAGGTGTTCAAGGCTGAATTTCCTACCCTGGAGTCTAAATCCCCTAAATATTTATGAAAATTATGCAAATATATGCTTACCTCCCAAGAAGTGCATCTGCAGCTTTCATCAAGTTATCAAAGGGTACATCATTAAAAACCATTGTTTTTAGAGAGAGGAAAAGCTAAGCAAACCTGATTAAGGACTGGTTCCCCATTTTTGCACTCTCAATTCAGAATATACTGGAGGACTTCCTCTCCTCTAGCCACCTCCCTCTTGTGCCCCTTCCTGCTGACACGCCTTCCCCAGATGGCTTCCCGGATCTTGCCATGGAAGCCACTGGAGGCCCCAACCCTCTTTTTGCAGGAACTTTTCCCATAGGTTTCCCAAGCCTCCCTTCTCCCTCCTTCTCTGCTTACTGTTTCCAGGAGAGGGTGTGAGAGTCAGGGATTTTTGTTCATTAGAAACCTCGAATGTTATTTCAACTACATGGTGGTTAAAAGGAATGTGTGAGCTGATTTGAGAATCTAAGACAGTAGCTATAAGAAAAATGTCATCCAAATTCCAATCTAATACTTTGCAAATGAACTCTTAGAATTCCTCTAGTCCTTTAGTTTGGCAAACTCTGCGTTTGATATAGAAACTCTTGACATTTTCCAGGAACAGAATGAAAATTTATGGATGGTAATTTCAGAGTTGCCCAGATCTGTCTATAAAATTGTCTTAATTTAGTTTTTCTCCCTGAATTTTATAAGACTTAGAAAAATCTACCTCTGAACAGGAATTCATTTTAATGGGCTCCTTTCCTAGGAGAGAACATATAGAAAGCACATTCTAAATTTTTGAGTCTGTCATCTGGACATACTGAGAAAAAGCTACCACTAAGGTGGAAGCTGGAAGAATCTTCGCATTTGTTTATTCGTGTTAAAAACCCCATCACGAGTGCCTGTCATGAACCCTCAGGCCCTGTGTTAGATGCTAAGAAATGAGAAGTGGTCTCTGGTGAAGGTCGTGATCTTTTGACACAGCTCAGCAAATAACCGTTCAGCATGCCAAGGACTCGACTAGAGGCAGCCAAACAGCACTGGAATGGGTACTGTGGCTGGCCAGGGAGAGGGGTGGCAGTGAGGGTGAACTTCACAGAACACTGACGGGTATCCAAGTTGCAGCTTCAAGGTTTAACAGAAACTTGTCAGGCAAAGAAGGGGTCTAGGTATAAATGGTAGGTTTATTAATGCGTTCCTAATTTTAACCAAAGTTAACACTTACCACTCTCTTGTTTTATATTTTCAATCAGAGCTCCAAACGAGAATGGAAGCCACTAGAAGATCGTAGCTGCACAGACATACCGTGGCTGCTGCTTTTTATCCTCTTCTGCGTTGGGATGGTAAGGGAACCCCCAGATGAACAGAACCTGCCCTGAGATCCGAGGGAAGGATGGGTGTTGGTTTGAAGAGGAATTTTGTTATCTATCTACCTACCTACCTACCTACCTACCTACCTACCTACCTATTTACTTATTTAGTTTTAATTCCACCTGAATTGCTTCTATAGCTGGAGGTTGTAGAATACCACTGAAAGCACCTTATTTTTCTGCCATACAATGTAGTAGTACTATCTAGAACCTCTTGATATTCTTTTGTTGGTTTTTTTTTGTATACATGAAAAGAGATCAGAATTTAAGAAGCAGTGGGACTCACATCTCTTTGACCCTATGATTTCAGAAAGCCAGATCATTTAACATAAATCTCTGGAAATTCTGATCTTAAGGGGGGGTGCACTGACCATGGAGGTCAAGAGTCCTGAGTGTTTTTGTCCAACCTGGTCACACACACCTGATGGTTATTTTCGTGTCAGTCAGTTTTCCTCTCAGGGGCTTGGTATTCCTTTGCATAAAATGGGAGGTTTTGCTAGCTGGTATCTGCAGTGTTTCCAGTTCGGACATTCTTTAGTTCTTCCTAGAGTGGGAGGCTGGTCATTCACTGCTTCTTCCTTGTGCAGCCCACACCAGGCCCCTGCTGCCTGCTGCATCTACTGTAATGAGTGGTACCTCTCAGTTGAGATCCAGGAACCCGGTGACTTTCCTAAGGGTACGGAGGTGGCAGGAGCAGAGTCCCTGGTGCAAAGTGGTGGAAGTGTCCTCATCCCAGTTGCCATACCCACTCTGCCCTGCAGGGGTTTCTGATACAGGCTTCGGGGACTTCAGAGCCACTGCCTGTGTGCTGGGCTGGAAAAAAGATAGAAAACAGCTGGTGCAGCACTGACTGGTGTTTGCAGCTAGAAAAGAGTTGGAAGTCCTCATGTGGTCCGTGGCCCTTGTTTTGCAGATTAAAAATATCAGGTAAAGACATGGATATGACCATCCCAGGGCCATGCTGCTAGTTAATGACAGAGCTGGGGACAGAGCCCCAGTCTGTCCCCAGGCCAGTGGTCCCAGGCCAGTGCTCTTCCTGCTGCCTTGTTTCTTCTTCCTCAGAACTGTGCAGGCAGTATTGTTCTCTTCCATGTCTTTACAACTCAAACCAAAATTAGGCTGGCTCAGGCAGCCCTTCTCCATTATGCATAGTATGTTTACCCCGCCCCCTTTTCATACCTTTCATAGATGTTCCTTAGGAAATTCTTATTCTGTGTCTCTCTATAACTGTCCACCTTGCAAATGCCATTTGAGAATCACAGAACAACCCTAACTGTGGCTACTAGGCCTACTCTTAGGTACCAGGTCTGCCCCTGAACCAAGGGAAAGAAAGTAAATTTTAACTAGATATAATAAATTCAGCAAGAGAAGTGGTATTCGTTTTAAAGAAAACAGGTCAGTTTCAGCAAACCCAGGACATTTTGAAAAGTGACCACACCACTTCCTAATTCAGGACTTCTAAGATAGTGTTCAGGAGTCTACTTAGTTTAATGGAGTGGCAGCTGAAATGCAGCGTGCATGAACACGCACAGAGCATGGAAAAGGTAGTCTTTGCTAACAGAATTAGTCTGTAACCTGTCCCCACCCCGGAATTTAACTCTGGGACAAGAAGCAGCTGACCTTTCAGAGATATGTTCATAAAACCATGTAACTGCCACCCAAGATGCTTTTGATTCTCTGCCAGACTAGCTCAGGAAAGTGCAATTACTGCTGTTAACAGGCTGACTTGGGAGTAAGGAGCTGTTTGCGCACCGAAACGCTTTAATGCAGCGGTGATCAATATAATGTTGATTTCAGTGCGGTGATAATTAAGACCCACTGTGTACACTTCTTAAGTGTGGACATAGCATGGATTTGGAATGATGTTTTTAACGGATTGCCTTCACGGAGGTGAGCTAACATCAAATTTTGTCATGTGGAACCAGAGAAATCAAAGTTCTGTTGCCACCCTACAGGCACAACCGTAGTTCAAGGTTTGTCTTCTGAGTATTTACTTTTTTATTCATATATTCATGTATTTTAAAGATTTTTTTCCCTTTGATTTCATGCTGTTACTACTTTAAAGAGAAACAGTCAACAAACATTGAGCATTAACATGTGCTTGAGGCTTCCGTACACATATTTGCCTCATTAAGTCCTCCAGTTAGCCTGTGAGATAGGTTTTATCCCCAGTTTACAGACAGGGTACGGTGAGGTTAAATACTAGCCTATCTAAGAATTACCGACGGTCACGAGTGCCAAAGACTGAGCAGGAACTGGAACTTTCTGCCTGTGTTCTTTTCACATTGCAGCCTAGCAGCTGCTGCTTTGATCTTTCTCAGTCATCCTGCCGCCCGATGCTCACACCAAACCCTTATCCACCACCTCTCCTCACGGTTCTCGGAGCACTTCTTGGTAACTCTGCTCCGGCTCTGAAATATTTTAGGATCTTGTCTTCTTTCACTCATCGTCTCCATTTAATACTTTTTATACATGCGTATGCATCCTTTCATAAGTATTTGTACTCCCTTTTATTTCTCCCCTTCGAGGTTTTTCCATGCTTGAATCGTCTAGAACTTAGGGTATTTTTCCAAGTAAATTGTTCTCAGCCTGCTTTAGAGCTATCACTTTCCACATAAACTTTCACCAGTTTTTTTGAAATTATTGGGCACATGCTTAATCTGCTCTAAAAAAAATTACGTGTACCATTGTACTTCTAAATTTTTATTTTTCACTAAAGTTGTAAACGGGTTCTCAACTTTACCTGCACATTAGAATCAGCTGGGAGCTTTTAAAAAACACTGGTTTCTGGGCTCCACCTGAGTGAGTCTGACGTAATCTCTGATTCTCTGCTCCGCCAAGGTTGAGACCCACTGTTGTAGGCACTGGTAGACCACGGAGGAGTTTTGAGCAAGAAATGATAAGATTTAGGTTGAGAAAGACAGCCCTGGTAGTCAGGAGCCATTGTAACGGAGGCAGAGATTCCCAGTGGTCCACTGTGGGGGGCTGAGGCAGGAGACCCCATCAGAGGTGAAAGCCTGAAATAAGAAGAGGAGGAGAGATTTTAAAAAGTAGGATTTGGCCCTCACCAGTGTGGTTCAGTGAGTTGGGCATCACTCTCTGGACCAAAAGGTCACCAGCTTGATCCCCAGTCAGGACATGTGCCTGGGTTGCGGGCCAGGTCTCTGGTTGGGGATGTGTGATTGTTTATCTTGCATGTTGATGTTTCTCTCCCTCTCTTCCCCTCTCTCTAAAAATAAATAAATAAATCTTTTAAAAAAGGTTAAAAAGTAGGATTTGGTGTCATCAATGTTGCAGGCAAGTGAGAGATTGATTAAGGGTGACTAAGAGGTTCTTGTGTTAGAAGTTCAGGGTAGAGTTTTCAGTTCAAACCCTACATCACCTCCTCATAGGTTCTAAACTGTGGCTTCTGTGCACATGAAGGAACAAGAATGGATGGTAATACGGTATTACCGTATTTTGCCTTGTATAATGCACACCCATGTTTTGGGCCCAAACATCCAGGAAAAAAAATTTTAGTCCAATTTAAAAAATTTTTTAATCCAATTATTTATTTATTTATATTTAGAGACAAGACTGATTATCATATTCCACAGTATTATTTTGCATACAGATATCATTATTGCTTTCTAGATTTACACTTTTAACGCATAGGCATAAGTAAAAGAATTAAAAACATTTATATAGATACAGAATTAATACTACCCATGTATAATGCACATCCGATTTTTCCCTCAAAAATTTGGGCAAAAAGGTGTGCACTATACATGGCAAAATATGGAACTTTATTAGTAGCCGAGCAGATACCGGATTATATCCTTAGTGCTCTGTTGTCAAATGACTTGTGGAATAAATCTTGGGCTAGAGGTCCTTTCTCCATCTCGGGTGGTCTGACCTCATTCGGTCTCAGGGAGAAGACTATATGAGAATAGGAGAGAAGAGGGGTCTACCTGGACCAAATCAGCCCAGATCAACTTATTATAACAAGGCAGGAATATTTAGGAGTGTCTGCAATGGAAAATGAAAGCTACAAAAACCCTCTGCAACTTATCCTTGATAATGCTGCTTACTACCTACTGGGTACTCTGCTCTGCACTTGACACAAACATGTATTTAATTTTCAAAACTGCTCAATGAAGTAGACATTATCACCATGCTCATTTTACAGATAAGGGAACAGAACTATCAAGATATGTTATAACTTGTCTGTGGCAACATTGAGCCCAAGAGAGAAGAGGAAGGTGAGGCTTTAAGAGATCATCTCTTTTTGTTACCTGGAACTGGGAATGAAAGAAAAAGTTCAGAACATGGGCCTATACTATATAGCACACAGCTCAGCTACCAGTAAAATGCAGTCTAATGGATATTTTAGACTCTGAGCAAATAGTTGAGCATTAGCATTTCCTCTAGTAGAGAGTTAGGAAGCTAGGGTGGTGGCCAGAGTGTGGAGAGAGAACTGAAACATCTTCTCACTCTGTACCTTACATGTGTGGTCTGGTAAATAGCTACACTTACAAAGGAGACGGGGTGTACATGGGAAAGGCAAATGGTTGGGCAAAACGAGGGATTGAGAGGGTGACTTTGACACCTAAAATGTATGGGTAAGGGTAAGCAGTCGGAAATGCAGAGCTGAAATTTGGGAGAATGGTCTGGACTTGGACTGGATTTAGGAGGCCTCATTGCATAGTTTTTCCCTTCACACTGCTTTCAAGGACCTTTTTTAGTCTGTAGCATGAGTCAAGTTCCTGGAGCACAGTGTTTCTACCTCATTAACTGTTCTTGGCGGCAGCACAGAGTGAGAGATTCAAAGAGTCACTGCAGTATTTTGTCACTTGTGTGATGGTCTGTGCTTTGCCGGGATTGTAGACTAGGCAGGAAGCAGCACACCACGAACTACTTTAAGGTTACCTGATCCAAATGACTGCCGACTTTCTGCTAAATCTTCTTTTTTTTTTTCCTTTTAAAAAAACTGT